ACACTTAAAAATCTCTAATCTCTATGACTGAAAATACTCCATTTGCCTTTTTTTGATTGGCCTTCCTGATTTTAAAAGTAATCTTTGAAATTGAAAAAGACAGAGGAATACATTTGTTACTCGTTTATGCCCGTAGATGCCACTGAGGAAGCACCCTTAGAGTCTTCTTTCCCATTACTGTTGTGTCTGTGTCAGTGTCCTACAGAGCCCAGACAGTTGCAGAAGCTCTTCTTTGGGGTGGTGAGCTTTGAAACAACTGGTGAGAGTCCAGGGAAGCAGTCAAGCAATAGGGAACCCTGGGACCACTGTGGAGCAGGTGGACATAGCTATGAGTGCTGGCCAGAAAGGTTGTGGAACCAAAGAAGACTTTTTCAGGAGAAGATTCTTTGATGGGGCATTAAAGAAGACACTGAGGAATATAACCTATGAGATTATTTTGAACAGTCTAGGAAAATGGACATGATTGACATCATGACTGACAGGCAGTGGAAAAAAGAGGGGCTTTACTTTTATGGCCTTTGACTCCATGGGTAAGATTGTTGTCCAGAAATACCATACTGTAAGTGGGTACAACTGTGAAGAAAGGAAAGCTCTGTCAAAGGAAGAAGTGCCTAGTGCTTCTCTAGCCAAAAGAGAGTGATTCTGGTAACTTTGGCAGCTGTGGAAGTGGTTTTGGTGACAGTGACAGTTTTGGTGGTAGAAGAGGTTGTGGTCGCTCTGGCGGCTTCCGTGGTGGTGGTGGACATGGTGGCAGTGGGAAAGGCTACAGTGAGTGTGGTGATGGTAGAAGCAGTTTTGGAGATTGCAGTCTTCAGAGTTTGCACCAGTGAAGGGAGGAAGCTGTATGGTGGTGGAGGCCAGCACTGTGCCAAGCCGTGAAACCAAGGTGGCTGTGGTGGTCCCGGCGGCGGCGGCAGCAGCAGGTAGGGCTGTAGCAGGCTTAGTTACTACCAGGAAATGGAGCTCAGCGGGAGAGGAGAGCCGGAGAAGTGGCAGGGAAGCGACGGGCAATGGCACACTTGTGAACTTGGCCAAGCACAGTGATGGCAGGATATGGCTGCTACAAGGAAGACGTGTTTTAGGCTGTGCTTGTGTGTGAGCAAGACAGCCGAAGGACTGCGTCTGTGACTAACCGTAAAACTCGTTATTTAGTTTCTGTTCTGTGGAAAGTGGAAAGCATGCCAACAAAAGCTTTTAATATGGACTTGCTTTTTCCACTGATATGTTGATTGCTGAATGTAACAGACATGCTGAATAAATGTCTTTTTAAAAAAGAAAATAGATGTATGAAAAACATAGCTATAGAATTTTTAACTACCTTTTCTGAGTCTTTCTTAACAACGTTACACAAGGATTGAATAAACCTTGTGTTTCCTGAGACCTGTGAAGAAAATTTATAGAATAAAAATGTCCATTTTAAAATAAAATCACCCCATACCTCACTTGAATTCTGCTTGCTTAGTGCAGAAACCTAACTTTTAAAATGGAAGTTTTAAAGTTAAGCACATGATCAGATCAGGGTTTGAGTTATATGTAAGCAGTACGACTACCATTAATATTGTGCTGATATCTTAGCCCAAGATTTGTCTTTTATTAGAAGAACCTGAATATAATTTTGGATTTGTTTTTAGTTTGTTGTTCCTAATATGCTTATCCCTTTGAATAGAGGAAATAAACTGTTATAAAAAGTAACTCCTTTGATTTAAATCTTTTCAGACTTACTCTGTAAGTTTATAACCATTTTTTAAAGAACGTCTAATTGTCCTCTCACAGTCCTTAAAATATAGTTATTATCAGCTCAGTGTAAGATATAACCCAGTCATCAAGCAAGAGTCAGCGTCATAATTGTCTTAATATGCAGACAAGATAGCTAATCGTATTCTCAAATAATACACCTGTACATGCTTATACGTAAACTGATACACATGTAATGCATCTTTACCGAAATTCTCATTTTTGCTGCTTCTCCGGTCTGCACAATTTCATTTTTCTTAAATAACTTGAGTTTTTATGATATATTGCTATCTAAACTCCTTCATGGGACGAAGTAGTTTGCCTTTATGGCTGTAGAAAAGTAGAGGATGCATTCGTCAACCCAGCGGTTGTTGATTGTTTTTCTTTTTAAACTATGATTGTCCAGGTTCTGTGCGGTTTCTGTGCAGGCCTGTGAAGGGACACAGAGATACGTATGCCTTTTTAAAATTCTAGACAAACCACACACAAGGACCTTCTAGTGTTTTGCTTCTGGCAAGTTGAAACACTAGGTGGTGCTATTTAATAACCTCCAAAGGAGTTTAACCTACCTGGAGGAGCATGCATCATGTATCCAGTTTAAATTAGAATGAATTGCATTTGTACTTAAATACCATGAAAAAAGTAAACTTACTAAAATTATAAAGGAAAGTGCAATAGCAAGCAAATCCTGACAGGAACCAGAAAGGAGTGCCTAACAAATTTATGAGTGGTAAAAATGTTACTTCTTCATGAGCATCATTGTTTTAAAAATTAGAATTTAAGTGTGTGACTGATAATTCAGTTTGAGTAAACATTTTTTCTTGACTACCCCGGCCTTTAATATTAGTCAACTTTCCATTAAAAAAATGTTAACATCTCTTTTTGTTGCTTTTGTTGTTTATAATGAAATAAACTATTTCCTTTACCCAGCTTCACAGTCCACTGGCAATTCAGAAGAGAGGAAGAAATATTACATTGTCTTTTTCTATATACTGTCACTGGTGTTTAAGATTATAAATGCTTTCTCCATGGTGACAGTATGCATTCTGCTTTTTTAAAAGGAAGGCATTTTTTACTTTAAAGAAACTTTCGTTAGTAAATTAGAACAAAAACTGTTAATCCTAGTTTCCCTTTTGATTAAAATATAATTGATTTTAAGTAGTTACTGTTATTAAGCCCTAAGGCTAAAGTACAATCTGACAATCCAAACCTAGCCTTTAACCCTTACAGGAGTCCTGGAAGATATTACTTGTGATACATTACTGTTCTTAGTTCAACAGTGTAAGAAAACTGGTTCAGGGAGGTTGTTACTCACTCATAGGATAGTGTTAGGAAGAACAAGATCCTGAGTTGATTCCTAAGCACCCGTACCCCCAGTCTCTTACCCTTATGTTTGGTGGTGGTGGTGGCAGTGGTGGTGGTGGTTGTTTGTGGTACTGGGAATTGAACTCAGAGCCATTACACTGAGCTACATCCAGAGCCCTATTGTATCTTGAGACAAGGTCTCAGTAAATTGCTAAGTGTCCCAGGCTGGGCTCAAATTCGCAGTCCTCCTGCCTTGACCTCTTAGAGTGCTGGTATTAGAGACATGCACTATTTATATGGTATTTTGGTATCAATATTTTTGCTGCTTTTCACAAATTATGAAATTAACCAACCTAATATTCAGAAATGAGCAAACAAAAAAAGAAATGAACAAATGCCATTATTTATTTACCTCTAAAGAAATTTTTCTCAAAACAGATTTTCTTTTGTGCCTTTACATCTGACATAATTGTCAAAAGATAGAATTAGAGCTTTGTTCCCATCAAATATCATATCTACTTAAATATCATGAAAGTAGAAATGAGGTCAGTTTTTTGTTTTATTTTTACCAGTAGTGGGGATTGAACCCAGGGCCTTGTACATGCCATACAAGTGCTCTACCAGTGAGCTACATTCCTAGCCCCTTCTTTTTTATTTTATTTTAAGACAGGAATTCACTAAGTTTCTCAGGCTGGCCTTGAACTTGATACTCTCCTGCTTAGACTTCCTAGTAGCTGGATTAGAGGTATGTGCTTACCAGTTTAAAATTTTTTAACAAACTTAAGAACACCATGATCACCAACATCATTGTTGCTAGTAGTATTTAAGTAAAATTTTTGTCAATAGGGAGAAGATGAATGGTGGGGAGTTTTGAATTCAGGGTTCCTGATTGAGAGAATGTATAAGCTGTTGTTTTAAATATTCCAAGAGAGAAAAAGCTGAATGAAGTACAATACTCAATTTGAAGAAACAGGAGAGTGAAAAAGAGTTATAAAGTAGTCGTGTGCCAGTTTTAAGAGAAATAAAAGTAGTTCCTCACATCAAAGCCTATTTTTAAACCAACTTGGTTTTTTTATTAGCAGTGTTTTGTATTCTACTGATATGTTTTTACCCTCTTATCTATCATGCTGTTTTTCTTATAGGTACAAAACCATAATTACATGGGTGTTATTTTTTTAAGTTTGCAACATATTAATATTATGAAAAATGAAAATTTCCAGATAGAAAAAAAAGTGTGAATAAATATACTTTGGAGGCGTGGAGAATAAGGGCTAACTTACAGTACTCTGTGTAGTTCAAAGCCAGGAATTTAGAACAAAAGTCTATCTAATAACTGAAATACAAAGACCATATTTTCTCTGCAGCTATAGGGCACTTTGTAGCTTTAGCTTATTTATATATAAAGAAGCAGTGGGTTAAAGTTAAAGGTACTGAATGGAAAATTGAGATTCTGGCCCTTGTTCTGTTATTAAGTGTTATATTGGAAATGTTTGTTTGTTTGAGACTGGGTCTTACTATGCCTTGAACTCATGGCACACCTCCTGCCTCAGCCTGAGTGCTAGGATTATAGGGATGCACTACCACACCCAATTTAAACATGTCTCTTACTTGTTTTCTGCTTTATAGAATGAGAGTTTGAACATGTTGATCACATGAAAAATGATCATGTAGAAAAAGTGTGAAAGTATTTTGCATGCATTGAGATGGGCTATAGATAAAAAGTACGCTGTAGGTAATCACTGTTTTGTCTATAACTGGTATGGAAATTAAATGAGATTCCCATAAAGCACCTAGAATGGACCTGACATGTGGTAAGTTTCAGCTTGGCTAGCATGAAAATGGAGATGACAGTAAAACTTTGGTAGTAAACACTGTTTCTGAATAACTGTATGATTAAACTGCTTTACAGTCTGCACAAAAAAAATAAGGTGATTTTTAAATAAGCACGTTTTATTTTCTAGGATCAAATCTAAATCGCTGTGGTTTCCGAGGCTCTTCATATCTGGGTATTCCATTCAATCCATCAAAGGTTAGTTCCCTTTGGGTCGGTAGGAAAAGGGATATAAGAAGATTGTAGTTTGGAGAAAAAAAACTAAGAAATTACTCAGAAAAAAATACACTTCTAGTTTTCCAGATGGCTAAATACTATATAAACTGAAAACCACTCAAGAGAAACCCATTCCTCCCTCTCTGGAAGCATTTACAGTATATACACATGTAGAAACTTATGTTACTTGTTATGAAAGCTTATATCTCTTTTACTATTACACACTTGCATGTGTGTGCACAAAAATTATTAGTGATTTCCTGGAGAAAATGGAAATAAAGCACTCAAGTACTGTGATGCTTGCTTTCTAAGAAACCAGTAATGTACTCGTATTATACAGGACTTTACATTCAGTTCTCTTGACATAGGAATAAAAGAAAACACTCTTCTGGAGGTGGCGATTGCAGATCCAGACGGTGATTAATTTTATGACGTTCATGGCAACAGGGAGAATTTCTTCCACATTGCAGCCAGGGCTTTGGAATCAGCCTATGCTAGTATGGAAAGCAGTGAGGCCTAACAAAGTGAAGAGTTTTTTTATTCTTCAAAGAAACAGACCCAGAACTTTAGGTATTCTATTTGTGTACAAAATCACCAGCATTTTTCTACTATAGGAAGTGGAGAAAAACTTCATCTTTTTTATTTGAAGAGTCTCCACAAAATGGAAGCTTACTCCTTGATGGGGTCATTCTCTAATATACTGAATATATACTGAATATATATGTATATATATAGTATATACATATATATTCAGTCTTAGTCCACTGAATATATCAAGATTCATATCCATTTAAAGGTGAAGTGCTGCTAGTTTTTCTATACCTTAATTTTTTCGACTAAATAGTATTTTGGGAAAGGCATGCTATGATAGAGGAGCTGCTTCAATTTTCTCTCTCTGCTGAAACTGTAGACCAGCTTACCTATTCCAAGTCATATGAATTTACCAAGATGTCTGACAGGGAATGTAGAAACAAAGGACTCACTAAATGTTTCTTTCTGTCATACGTACATTTTCTAACTTAAGCCAGTACTGAAGAAAGGTTGTCTTTTCGGTTTGCCATAGAGAACAGGATATCTTGGTGTCGTGATACTGTGAATGACCATTGTGTGATTTTAGACCATGTATAGATGGATACCAATACTTGAAGTAATATTACCTTTGAAGAATAATCTCTACCACCAAGACATTTTATTTATTTGATTAGAGTTTTTGATCTTTCTCTTTCTTGCATGGTACAGAGGATTCTGGGGATTAAACTCAGGGCTTTCACACTGAGCTGCATCTCCAGCTCTTGTTTGTTTGTTTGTTCATTCACTCATTTGTTTGTTCAGAGACAGGGTCTCACTACTTCCCTAAATTGCCCAGTCTGTGTTTGACCTTGTAATCCTCCTGCCTCCACCTCCCATAGTACACAACTGGCTGTTTGTTTGTTTTGAAGTGGGTGCCTCTCTGTTTTGCCCAAGCTGACCCCAAACTCCTGGGCTCAAGTGATCCTCCTGCCACCTGACTAGAGATGCACCCCACTACAGCCAACCCTAAAGATATTTTAAAGACACTGATTAAAGTTGAAGAAACAGGTTTTGCTCTTGGTTCGCAGCTTCATATGAAACCCATTGTCAGCCCTTGATTCACCTGGACCTTGCCATCGTGTGGGGAACCTGGCTGTCTCCACTGTGTTGCCCCTCTGAACTCTCAGTGGGAGGAGCAGCTGGAAACTCCAGGTGGAATCACACGGGGCAGCAGGGAGTCATCCCTTCATGTGGTAGCTTAGAGTCCGGGAGACAGATCGTACAGTACGTAAATCAAATGGCCTCATTGATTTTTCTTCAGAAACCACCACACAGCCTGTCAACCATTGACTTGGCTGATAAACGCCCAGCACTGTTACAGGCGGTAGAGCACTTTTGGAGAAACGCTGGTGGGTCCTTCCAACCCACTGTCTTTCCTGAATTTGTTCATAAATACCGTATTCTTTTGGATTCTTCATGGTCTTTTAATGTGTGCTCTAGGATTTTCCTTCCCTGCTTCTCTTTTATCTTTTACCGGTGATGCCTTCTCCACGTGTGCCTGTTTCAGGCTCCTCTTCACTGCAAAGAAGAATCACTCTATTCCCCACACATTATTATCTGTCCTTCCTGACCATTTATAGTAGTCTCCTTTGTGCTCTAATAACCTGATCAAACCTCTCTTGTGCCCTTAGGGTTAAGCTCTACATTTGATTCATGTTTGGGTTCCCTACAGGTTTTTTTTAATGTATGAATAGCAGTTGTTTCATTTAAAAATGAAACCAAAAAATGAAATATGGTAAGGAGTTCTTAGAAGTCTGTTACAAACGTGGAATAGAGAAGCAGGAGAATTAAAACTTGAGTACCAAGGACGGACATAGGATGAAAGATGCTTGATGAAAACTTACTTGTTAAATTTGTGAGGCCATTTGAAGAAGTGTAGCATTAATAAATAACTAACATCTTTTCAGTCAGTTACCCAATCTAATCCTCACAGTAATCTTATGAGGTGGTTTCTACTATCTTCCTTTTCCACAGTGAGAAAAATGAGGCAAGCCAGTAAGTAGTGGAGCCAGAATTTAATGCCTCTCCATGACTGAAGAAATTAACATTTACTTATAGGAGGGAGAGGAACTAAAACCTTGATACGAATTTTATTTTAACTGTCTAGTATTTTGAGCAGTTATTTTAGTATTTGAACCAGTTATTAGTAAATCAAAACTAAAGAAGAGTAGCCTGTGAGAAAATGAGTTAAATATATGTATATATATAAAATACACCATCAAAAATAAAACTTTTTTAAGCTGAAGAATCAATTGTATGACATGACATTCTACATTTTTCGAATGAAATCTTTTTTAAAATAACCAATAGAATTAGCTGAGTATTTGAAGTTAATTATAAAGCTAATGGTTTTGTATATTGTGGAGTATAATGTTATTTAGCATAATAAACCATTTTTAGATTGAAATTTTCTGTGTGGCAATGCCAACTTCCATGGTCTTTATAGGATTTCCTATAAAGAGTCTCATGTTTTATAAAGTTTCAGAAATCTTTGGTAAGTGTTTTCAGTTATCTTTTATTCAAAGACTTCTAGTACAAGTCAGCTTAATCCCACTTGTATTGTGGTAGTAGGAATTTCTTAGTCTGACTTCCCAGCTCTGCAATTGCCAATCTTGTAAGTAGTCCCCCTGTAAGAACATAGGCTTCATGAAGTGCTCTTTGAAAGCAGTAACCCGTTTGAGCTCTAAATAGCGAAAGTTACATCATTTTATTTCCAGATAATGTTTCAGTTTTAGTATTTTAATCTCTCTGCACTTCATGGGTTTTTTTGGTTTGGTTTTTTTTGTTTGTTTTTGTTTTTTTTTTTTGCTGTTCTACATGCTAGTATCTATTAGAAACTCAGTTCAATTTTATGTGATAGCAGAACGATGAAGTTTTCCAGTGTATTTTTTAATATGGTGATTACTAAGATGGTGTTTAAATTTGTACTGTATAAAAGAATTGTTTCTTGTATAAGTCATTTTTGTTCAAAAAATTACATGCTTTTTCTAACTTTATAAGACATAGTGATAGATTTGGTTAATTATGAAGTTCATAGAATTTTATTTATTCAAATATATCTTTTCTGATAGACTTTGAGGACTCTAAGCTGAATTTTAAAATTATTTAATCTGGTAGTGGTACATGGCTGTCATCCCAGCTACTGAGGGTACTAGGGCAGGAAGATTACAAGTTTCAGGCCAGCCTGGACAACAGCAAGATCCAGTCTAAAAAAAAAATTATATAACTTGGAATTTATGCAATCATAGTTATATATTATTGAGACATACATAGAAATGGAGATTTTTCTCCATTGGACATCTATACAATTCAGTGTAAGCAACATTTGTTTCCTGTTTATTAAAACTTCATAGCAAACTAGTTAGTGAAATTAATTTTGTATTTTGATTCATTAACATAATATTCATTTTTTAATTTAGAGTCCCGGAACCGCTCATCCATATGACAGTGGCCACATAGCAATGACCTACACTGGGCTTTCATGTTTAGTTATTCTTGGAGATGACTTAAGCCGAGTAAATAAAGAAGCTTGTTTAGTGGGCTTGCGAGCCCTTCAGCTGGAAGATGGCAGGTACGAGTCATTCATTGTTACTTTTTAAAAAATAAGAATATTTAGGAGATAAAAAACAGACATAGTAGTACACTAGATCTTTTATTAAAAATTGTACACTATTAGAACCACTGAAAGAATCAAAAAGTGTGCAAGATTTTTTGTGTGAAGGAAAATAAAGTAGTTTTACAGTAGAAGAACTTTTTTCATTGTTAATTTACCTTTTAGATGATAAAAAAAAGGCTATTTTGAAATTAGGGTACAGTTAGTCTGAACTTTTGCTCCTTAAAATCTAATAGGGGAAGAGACAGTGAACTTTGAATGTCATATTTCTATGTTTAGATTGAGTAACATTTTCAAGAGATAGACAAGAGTTAATATGCTAATATCTGATGGTTTTTGTGGCATGTGTAAGGAATCTTCTAATAATTTTAAGTTAAAAAATAGTTTTTCCTCCTATAATCCCCAGGACTCGGGAGGCTGAGGCAGGAGGATTGCTGTGAGTTTGAGGCCAGCCTGGACTACAAGGTGAATTCAAGGCCAGCCTGAATTGCATAGTGAAATTCTGTCTCAAAGAGACCCACACACACAAAAAAATTTTGTTTTCTTGAGAGGGTGAGGCATGAGGATCACTGTGAGTTTGAGGCCAGCCTGGACTACATAGTGAGATTATATCTCAAAAAGTATTAATAATAATAATAATTTTTAAATTGGGCGTGGAGGTGTGTGCCTGTAGTCTCATAACTCTGGGACGCTTAAAGCAGGAAGATCATAAATTTGAGCTGAGCCGGAGGGATTTAGGGTGACCTTGTCTTAAAATAAAAAATAGAGAACTAAGGATATAGTTCAATGCAAAGGCCCCGTTAAATCCTCACAACTGCAAATAATAATGACATCGTCATTATTGTTTTTGAATTTATAAAGTGATAACGTTGTAGTGATGCTAAGGAAAAGACCAAAAAGCAGACTGCTGTGTTGTTATATGTTTGTGCTCCAAGTCTCTATTTTTAATGTTTTCAAAACACTGCTCTTGATGAGGGAGAAATAAATGTAGACATAGAGGACAAGCTGACATTTGGGAATACTATAAAACTGTTTACCCTAAACAGAACATGTGACTCACATGTCAGTATTGTCCAGGATTGCCACCTTATCTTTCTTTACAGACAATAAATGAATATGGACCACAGATTAATTTTCTTGGTGGGGGTCTAAAGCAGGGTCTTACTTTGTAGTTCAGGCTGGTCTTGAACTAAGTAGCCCAGGCTGGTTTCAAACTCGCAGCGATCCTCCTGCCTCAGCCTCCTGAGTGCTAGGATTACAGGTATGCACCACCATGCCCAGCAGAACACAGATTCATACCTCTTGAATATTAAACATGTAACGAGACACAATATGGTTGATCAATTAATTGTTAACTGCAAATGCCTTTGAAAGAAATTCCACACTGAAAAACCTGGGCAGGAATTTCTTATGACTCCGTGGGTCCCAGGTTTTACCTGCTACTTTTTCTGCCATTAATTCTCAAGCCAGCATTACAGTCTCCCTTTTTGGGAATAAATAAACCTACCCTGAGGGCAGCATCTGGGAAGGAGTAGCATGGTCAATATACTACTACCCAGAAATCAGAACTTTGAAGCAGTGATGATGGAGAAATTGCTTTATATTATTCAAGTTAATACTGTTATTATGTAATAACATTAGAATATGGTTTTTAAATGAGTGATGTTTTTGTGCGTAAAAACGTGAAATTGCTATTTCTAACCTCCTTGCAGCCCAGTGTTAATAGAAAATCTTATTATCATTACTATTTTTAGTTTTTGTGCAGTGCCTGAAGGCAGTGAAAATGACATGCGATTTGTATACTGTGCTTCCTGTATTTGCTATATGCTCAACAACTGGTCAGGCATGGATATGGAGAAAGCCATCAACTATATTAGAAGAAGTATGGTGAGTTATGCTGATAAAATTGGCTGCGTTATTATTGCTGGTGCTGCAGTGTGATGTATGCCTCATCTCTGCCCCCGAGAATTTAGAAATAAAGGCACTAGGATTGCTTTCTGAGTACAGTATGGCATGTATCAGAACACCATATAGAAATAATCTTAAAGAGGAGAATGGCTAAAATGTAATACTTCCATGTGATTTTTTTTTTTTAAATTGCAGTTTATTTTAAGGGTGATATTAGTAGAAATGTTACCCTTTCACAGTTTTACCTTCTTCATTGGCAGTAGTAAGGGAAAGCTGAGTCTTAGCTGGAATTACCATGTTGTCTTTCACCTCATATATAAAACTGGAGAGAATACCAGTTTTGCTTCCCAGGTTTATTACTTTCCAAATATGAAGCTTTTAGTTTTGTAAATTGGAATATGTAAAACTGTAATTCAACCAGAATATTAGCATCTCTCAAAATGAAAGTATACTCTTAGAGGAGTGGAGTTGATTTTAACTGAGTATATAACTAGATCGGATTTTGTGGAATATACAGTAGTGCATATTTTTATGCACTACTGCTTGTGGATGCAGAAAGAGACTCAAAGAAATATTAAGAAGAAATAAGGTTTTTGCCAGGTAGGAGCGTGGGTGATGCCCCTTTTTGCCGTGAATGGTACAGAAGTAGTACAGATACATTGCGTTATATCCGAAGATGCAGTATGTTGATCTGCTTATTTTTGCTCAGTTGGTTAAAGTGGAATATGCCAGTTTTCTCTGTAAAGTTAGGGGGTTTGTCCTGTAATTATTTTTTCCTGTGATTACTTAGTATTTAGTTACTGCTATCTGGAAACTATGCAAATATCCTCTCATCCTGCACTACTCACTGGTGGCGTTGGTAGGCATCAATGACTCTCCAGCTGTAGCATCCAGCCTACAACTATCAGTTGAAATTCTGCTATTAGAAAAAGCATCCTCCTTCATGTCTTTATTTACTTATTTGTTTCTATCAGTATGGACTCTAGATTCTTATTTAGTGGATTGTAGTCTTTTACTATCATTATGTTATTTTGATGTTTATATTGTCTCAAATTTGCCTAATGAGAACCTTTCCAAGCATGTTCAGTTCCCTTTTGATATGTTCACTTCTTTCTTTAAGGACCTCCTTGCTTTCTGGCACAAACATTTCAGGTTCATCTTTTACTTTTCCAGTCTTAGTCCTGAAATCAGACATTCTTCAGGAAGCTTGGTTTTTCTTATTTAGAAACCAGAGTCTTCGTACTGTGTCTACTTACTGCTATTGAGATACTGTTGCTTCCAGGCCCTCTCTCTGTGATGGCGTTGGGAAATGTCCTGTATATGTATTTGTGTATACAAATAGATACCTCCCTTATGCACAATCTCTGTTTCTGTATCTTTTTATCAGTCTATTTATTAAAAACCCTGAATACATATAGATGCCTCAGATTTCAGTCTAACACCACAGGTACATTTATTTTTTTCTTTTTAATATGGTTGAATATTATTTATTTGAAGTATAGTTTAGGGGTTTCCGTTTGGATTCTATTTTAACTATTCCTTTCATTTAGACTCTCAAGTATTAATATATAGAGTACTGTATGTAATTCCAATTACAAATTGTGCTATAGTTAATAATCTTCTACATATGCATTGGTGTATTTTTAAAGATAGGTCTTTAGGCCCGGTAGTGGAATTGCTTGGTCAAAGGCTAAATGCCTGTGTACTTTTATTAGTTACATTCTATTTTCTCTTCAGAAAGATGAATCAGTTTGTATTCCCACCAGTGTAGGAGAGTACCTGTTTCCATGTAGACTTTTCAATGGAATTCAATAAAATTTTGCACATCTTTTTTAAAAAAATTTTTTTGAGACAGTGTCTTGCTGTGTTGCCATGCTGTCTCAGACTTGGAGGCTGTCTGCCTCAGCCTCCTGTGTGGCTAGAACTACAGGCATGAGCCACCATTTCCATTTATACTTTTTTGTTTTACCCTGGGTGATTAAAAAATTATATCTCAGTGTATGTTTAGTTCACATTTCTTTTATTATGAGTGACAGTGGCCATTTTCTTAATTCAAGATCTGTATAAAACCATGCTGCCGGCCAAAGTTAGTTTTGGTGTCTGTTCTCATTGATCATTTTGCTTTTTACTTGAGGTTGTTCAGTTTTTTGTGTACTTTCTTCTTTGCCTGTCCTTTATTTTATCCATTTTCCCTCTGAACTTTTTCACTTCTCATTTTTATTCCCTTGGCTGTTTTCTACCTTTTCTCAGTTTCTCTTACTGAGTTTTCATTTTTAAAATTTATTTTTAGGCATCTTTTAATTTAGTCTTTATTTCTTATTTGTATGGTTTTTTTTTTTTCCCTTGAAATTATTTACTTGATTATTTTTTCCTGTTGTTTTTGTTTCTGATTTTTACTTCGCTTTACATGTTCCCAGTTGCTCATTTGCGGGCATGTAATTGAGTTTAGATTGTCTATTTTGAGTTTCTTCTGCTTTGTGGCTGTTTTTGCTGATAGGGACTGATAGATTTTCCCATACTGAAGCATTTTCATTCCACTTTCTGTTTCTTCATCTAAGAGTTTTATCTCTTTTTTACTAATGTCACGATTTTTTCTTTAAATGCAACAAAATGATTTAATGGTTGGTTATTGTAGTGGCAGGAGAATGGTTGTGTGTGCTGTGATTTTTCTGGCAGAAAGGAGGTTCTGTCTTGCTTCTCAGGTTTCTGAGTTTTGTTCTTTTGCGTTTTCCTTTCTTGGCTCACCCTCAAAGGGCCCATCTCCTTTCCTTTTGGTGAGAAACCGTGCTCTTTGCACACTACTGTGTTGATTTGTGGCTCTTTTAAACCCCTCTTTGGAATCCACGCGGTGTTTACCACGCCTCTGTAGGCTACCTTTGCATGGCAGTGCCAGACCATAATGATAACCTTACAGATCAAAGTGATTGAAAGTGCTTTTAGCTGTCAGTAGGGAAAATGTTGATTATTCTATATAACCTTTAAAATTTTTGCCAAAGCATAAAAATTCTTTTGCTATCAGTTGCGAATGTACAAAGATGTTTTAATAGTAAAACTAATATTTAATGCA